AAGTTCTGACTAAATCCTGTAAACCGGACTGCTATTGGAACAGACTATTTGTGTTCTCGGGCTGGCACTTTGAGAGAGTAATTTTGGTTTCTCACTAGCCCGAGATCGCCTAGACTATTTTCCGGCCGAGTTTATAAAAACTGTCGAACTGCCAGAAGGTGAGTAGTTATAAAAATTCAAATTTTAACTAGTAAATGCATATCGTTATCTGAATTCACAAAGGCCCTAACAAACACTTTTTTCGAGACCGCATTTGTCACAGATTTTGTTAGGATGAATTAACATACACCCTACCCAACGCATAGCACAAAACATATAGAATTCTGTTGGGGTTTGATTTTTACGTAAAAATGGTATAGTAGTGCAAGTATGATAGCATGAAAACGACTTTTTTCTATATCTTTATTCCAGTATTACGAGAATAAGAAGCATATATGTACATATATATATATGTATTTCTTTCATACGATGTGGGCCCTACTAACAATTTGTACACTTATGTTGATTTTATGCGAATGCCTATCCTTTAAATTCTGAATCCAGGAACTAAATTTTTGCAGTTCAAGTCCAGCTGTTCGGCATATATTATCTATGTATTAAATTCTTCAGGATTTTTTTTTAACAAAAGCAGCATAATACTCGTAAAACAATTCAAAGCGCCTTCTTTCTTTTCGCCGATTCAGAAATGATCAGTCCGCGAAATGAGACTAAAAAGGACTTTATTTGGCTGCTACCTACACTGAGGGAAAAAAATATTAAAATCAAATAGAAACGTAATTGTTCTTACTATAAACGTCAACGAAAGTATTGTATATTGGTAAATATTCAATTCAATTACGCGCATATTAAAATGACCGCGTTCGTACTGAAAAAGCATCCGTGAAGTGAATAATCAAGATAAAAACAAAAAAAAAATTACGAATTTACATGTTGCCTGCAGCGGAATTCGAACTCTGACCATTCCTGGATATCAACAAATTGTGGCATGCATCTTTGCGCACTCAACTATACCCCGGCATATAAATTTGCTTTCAAATGTTGAATATCCATCAACACCACAGCACGCGATTTGTTCGGACAAACATGTACTATGTATGAATGTGTGTATTGTCACCGCTCTCAGAGCGGCGCTCCTGCATGCTTGGGGTGCGTATGTATACTCATATATATACTCAGATGTGATACGTGCGTAAAAAAATTTTTATGAAAATATTATTTTTAAATTCGAACATTTTTAAACGATAATCAAATATAAAGTATTCAGTTTTACTATGCATTATTTCCCTCAGTGTATGTCTAGTTTTTTGTATGAAAAGAATTGCGAAATTGAAGTGAAGAGGGATGTATTTTGAATTTTCTAAAATCCCCAGATCAACCTTTTCTCTTATAGTAGGCGCCATAGACGGTGCGTCTGACTCACGAGTCATCTGTGTACGTGTTGACTCGCCTTTCGACTATACACAGTTGAGGCATTCAGAGTCATGCCAGAATCATGTCGGTGTAACTATCATATATTTATTTTTACCAACACATCCAAACCGACTCGCGAGTCAGACGCACTGTGTATGTCGCCTATTACACATATTCAGGCCGATTCTGAATAGAAACTCCCCGGGAATTTTCTCTCTTTTCTCTTTCCTCCTATCATGTGTCCTTCCTTGAGGATTTTTTATACTAAATGGCGGAGTTGAGCTCTCAAAAAAGTGTCAAACAGCTTTTTTGAAGTTCGATTTTCCTCCTCCCAAGTTTTCGGGGAAAATGCTACTCTTGGGGGTTTGGGGAATTATTAATCTATTTCATCACTTAAAACTAAGAAATTTTAAATTGGTTGAAACCGAATCATACTTGCTCCGAACGTACATCAAATAATCGTCATTTTGTAGCTCTTCGGTTAGTTTTCCAGTTGGTATATCGGTGTTAATAAACCTTAATGAACATGAAATGTAGGCACAATTAAGAACTGTGACCCAAGGAGTGAGTGAGTGCTTTATCGCACCGTTATACATACATTTTGAAGGAATAAAATAATGTGTAGAGGCCAGTGTTGAGTTTTTATTTGCACCTATTATCGAAAAATATGCACATATTATTATCGAAACCTACTTGGCGTGCTCATTATGATTTCACAGCCAAGCTTTAAATTTTTGAGCCACAATTTTTAAATATGCATGTGTAATAACCCAGCAGAAAAAAATTAGCAAATTATAAAAAATAACCAACTTATAGTTAGATTTTATACGGGATTTCGAAATGAATTGTAAAAAAAAATTAATACATATTTTGTTCTAGTGGTAGTCGTTGCAGCTATGAAATTTTTACACAACATAGAAGAACTAGTAGTGGCAATTTCTGCATACTTAGCACAATATTTGTATTTTTTTTGATTATGACACTATTGAAGTTTTTTAATGTACCTGCCTGGACATTAAATAGACTGTGTTCAGAAATGCATCAAGCCAAAGCTCGGTATCTTTTATTTCTGAAGTATAATTGATGGAAATGCATTATTTACGAAACTAAGTTCTAATTCGGCATTAAACCTTTTTAGATGGATTTCTTAGAAAGATTTTGAGTATACAGTTTTATGGTACATTCAATTTTATTAAAATAAAGTGCAATTAGCTAAGATTTAACGTCGATTTTTCTAATTTTCTTGTTGGAAGAAAAAAAAATCGCAAAAATTAACGGTAAGTCCTAGACGCCTTCATATCGAGTTTTCGTTATTAAAATACAAACACCGTTTCTTTTTAATGTTTGTTAATGTATTAAAAATTCACAAAACAGATATATTTCGCTACCCAAGGGTAAAAACGTGTCAAGTCCACTATATTCAAAATCTAGTTTTTGATGCAGAATGACAGATCATGCGAACTGAACAACTTCAATAAATGGACTTGGCACATTTTCAGCTTTAAAGTAAATGTAAGAAACTTAAATACAGACATTTAATATACAAAAGTTTTAAGAAAAGGTTAAAAAAAAATAATATCATGAAAGACCATGGTTCTTTTACACTCTCTTTTAGAATTATCTGCAGAATCAGGAAATATCCTACGATTTCTTAAAATAAAAGTTGACCCAGCCTAATGTATATATGTACATTCATATACTTATGTGCATATATTTTACATATGCTATTTAATCGACAATAAAGTCAAAAAACTTAGTGACGAATGGATTTTAAACAAAGAATTCTATACGAGGCTGCTTGAACAAGACGAGTACACAAGGTATGTCGACAATTTTTTGCTTAGAAGAAACTGCCAAAAATCAAGTCGACTTTTTACCAACTTCAAACTGGCACTTAGTTATACAACAATGTCAACTTGTAGGCAGATTTATTAAATTATCCTGAGTTTTGCACGAAGTTTAGATACATTTTTATGTTTTTGTTGTAGTACGAACTATGTTTTTATAAAAAATTCGCGGAAAATTTTGATTAAAAAGTATGCATAATCAGACCATAAGTCTATTCCGAAATACTACAGTGCGGTTATGTTCGTATATACATGTACTGTGTACTATATACCGATGGCTGAGTGGAAGATCGACCTATCTCGGCAGCCTGTTCGAAAACGCCCTATCTCAGAAAACTTTTCAAGAACGCCCTACTTCATGATTTTATTGAAAAACAATCTATTTCAGAATTTTATTGAAAAACACTCTATCTCAGAATTTTGTTGAAGAAAGCCCTATCTCAGAATTCGGTTCAAAAACGCCCTATCTCAAACGAAAATACATTGAAAATAAGCTGAGATAGGGTGTTTTTCAATCAAATTCTGAAGTAGGGCGTTCTTGAGAAGTAGGGGTTTCTGAGATAGAACGATGTTGAAACATTTTCTGAGATAGGGCGTTTTCGAACTGGCTGCCGAGATAGGTCGATCTTCCACTCAGCCATCGATACCCTGTGGGATCTCGTTGTCCGCTTCTGCATGACATTGTAACCAATTTTGGATCAAATCTCACATCTTCTAGTACAATTCACCTATTTTTCATTACGTTGCTTTAAATTTTTAGACTATCTTTGGTCTAGATACAAAACTACTTGACCTACGATTGTATTTTGGAGAAATTGAACCAATCTTTCCTTCAGGGTAGTTGTGTTAGTAAGGGATTTTTCTATGTGTGTGTCTCAGACCGATGTCATACCGCAATTACTTAGTCTAGGAAAACTGACGTAATATTTATTTTCATGCCATTGTAGGTATGTAATTGTTAAACACAAAAAATAAAAAATTTCAGTTATATTAAAGCTGCATTTACATGAGGCGACTTTGGACCACGTGTACCGTTTTCGATAATTATTTTTTTCAGCTTCAATTAATTAA